TAGTTTCCCCTAAATAGGGGGACCCCAATCTAGACCCCCAAAGGCTAGTCCTTATTCAGTATAGGGATCCCCAAGATGGTGCCCCTAAATCCTAAACCCTAAAACTTAAACTCCAAACCTTAACCCTAAACCCTAAACCTTAAGCCTTAAACCCTAAACCCTAATTTTGGGAACCCACCCTGTGTATCTTTTTAGTTGAGCATCCCAAGGGTTTTTCGGCATGCGCGACCCCTATGCAGAGTCCCCCACGGCTTTTTGTGCTTGAAATAGTGCCCCAATATAACCCCAATATTATTTGGTAATATTATATAGCGGTTATGTGGGGATAATATTTGGATTAGATTAAAATCCAAGTATTATCCCCAAATGACCTCTATATAATATTACCCCAATGGGGCTCATATTTGCACATTTTTGGGTGGCCCTGACTCTGAGCCGCGAGGCTGTTTGCTGGTGGCTCTTCGATCTCCGCGCCTTTTTTGCAGCGGCGAAGACAGATGCGCACTCTGCGCGGAAGTGCCTGCAAGGGTTGTCTGTCAGGGTCTTGTCTACGCTTGGTGCTCTCTCTCCCCCAATAACCAGGGCTAAAAAAGTTTAAGGTTTATTATAGAGACCCAAAAAAGAAGCCCAACAAGTTTGAAGTTCTTCTATTGGCTAAGTTGGTGCTGAGGATTAGGGCATGGGCTGGGGTTGGGGCTGGGAGAAGGCTGTTCCGCGAAAGCATCCTTTGGAGATGCAGCAGCATAGGAAAACCTGACCATTTTGTGAGGCACTTCTGGTCCTACTTCAGTGGGCAGTGCATGTGGCATGTAGCGACTACAGAACGACCAAGAGGATTCCCCCATTTTGGGCCATAAGTCGTAGACTCTAAACCCTAAACCCTAAAGAGGAACCCCTAAACCCAGTAAAGAATGGAAGATCGTACGGACCACCGCCTGGAAACCCCTGTGGCACAAGACGATGCGCTCAGTTGAATGCCTACTCTAGCGCCTTTTCTTACTGGGGGTTAGTAGGGAATATGGCAATAAATTACATGGAGATTATGTTCAGACTATGTTCCCACATTCCTTACTAACCCTCAACTCTAAACTCTAAACGCTACCCTATATTTGCCCTATATTCCCTACTGACCACCAGTAAGTTTTGTCGAGGCAGTTCAACCTGCCTAACCCCTAAACCCTAAACCCTAAACCCTAAACAACCCTAAACCCTAAGACGTAAACCCTAAACCCTGTAATGCATTCCTGAGGTCATTCCCCGAACAGTAACAGTTACCACAAGAAGTAATAGGAGTTATAAGAGCGCTTAATCAAACCTCAGGTACTTGGAGGGGGGGGGGGAATAACCCAACCCATTCCGTCCTTTCCTACCAGTCAAAGTAAATTTAAGCATCGAACTTCTCTCTTTGCCTGAGGGGACTGTATCTTTTCTTGCCATGAAGTAGAGGGCCCCGCATATACCCCCAAAGCTTATTATGCGGATCCACAAAAATGAGGGCAACTTGGCAGAAGAAGAAAGGCAAATAAACATGAAGGAGTAGGAGTAGGAGTTGGGGCTAGAGTAGATTTTGGACCGCCTGAACCCTCGAGCTGGAACTTTCAAAGCTTAGAACTTCGAAGGCAACAGCACCCGGAACCTGGAGCAAAAAACCTCATGCACAGCCCCTTTTTGGCCGAATGCTGATGATGTTTGGCTCTTGGGCTGGAACTTCGTGATCTCTGGCGCGTGGGAGCCTGCAGTGCCCGTGCCATGCGGGGCCGCAGTAGCAATGGAGGTCGGTGGGTGGCAAAGTCCAGATCCCAGTCCAGCAGCCCATCTCCGAGAAGTCCGCGCAGTCTTTGCACGTCTTTGGCATAGAAGCGCCTCAGCTCCCCTCTAAGGGGTGATCCTAGCGGAAGTGTCTCGGCATAGTCGTAGCGCACGTGTTCTTCTTCAAAGGCCTCTGTAGGGAACTCGACATGATCTAGTCCCAGGAAGTCCCGAATGCGACGCAGCTCCTGGCTAGGGCACTGACGAAAGCGCTCTGCAATCACCACGTGGATGCGCTCCGCGGGGAAGAGCCGAAGGAGCCGCTCCAGCCTTTTAGGGTTTAGGGTTGAGGGTTTACTTCAGTTTTTAGCAGCTCTGCTTAGAATCACAAACTAACAAAGCGGTTGCCCCACAACATCAGTAAACGAAGCTCCATTCCTCCAAACAAACATCGGAGTTATATTGGGGGACTGATGGTGTAATATTGGGGCAATATTAGCACAATACAAGCTCTATTTCTCCAAACAAGTGCTTTGCAGTGCCCAGCTGCTGCTCGGCATAGAGGCCCCGCCGGAAGGCGTCTGAGCGGCTCTGTTGCGAAGACTTGAGCTCCCTCTGCAGGGTACTGAGGATACCGTATTGGGGTTATCTGAGCCATAGTCTAAACTCCTAGTATCCCCCTTAATATCCCCTACAGTAGTCCCCTATGTAATCCCCGAAAAAACCCCCCTTTAAGGAACTTCGACTATGGCTCAATATAGGGATAATGGAAAAGAAAATGAAAGCTCCTATTTAGGGTTTAGGATTAAGGGTTTAGGTAATTTAGAATAATTTCAATTCCCAAGTTAAGGCCACTTTGGTTCTATTCCCTATATAAATCACCATTCAGAGCTCCCTCCTTAGTGGTGGCTAGTAGGGAATAGGGGAAAATTATGCTTATATAAACCCTGTATATCCCTATATACTCTATTCCCTCATTCCTTACCAACCCTCAGTAAGCCTCTGGTAGCGCTCCCCCAGGCTTCCCACGCAACGGCCCTTGTCATGGTCATGGTTCTGGTGGCTCACTGCCCGACAGATTGGGTTGCGAAGCGACACCACCAGCTTTGCCTGAGGAAGAAGCTCTGCAAGTCGCTCCAGCGCCTGCGGTATGTAGAGGTAGCTGGGTGTCACGTCCCCGATCATCTCCGCGTCTTCGAACCAGGAGGCGTAATGCGCTGGCCCCAGTGCCCACTCCGTGTCCTCGTCAAAGAAATGTGGTTCTTGTGACGGTAGCGAAAGGCCGTCCTGCTCCTGGGTTCCCCAGTAAACCCTAAATAATAAGGGTACCCTTTTTCCTACTGTTCTGGTTTGATAAGGATACAGTCCCCCTTAAGCAGATAGAATATGGCTTTGGGTACATTATAATAAGATCCCCATATACCCCATATTCTATCTACTTAAGGGGGACTATACCCCCAAACAAAAAAGGGTAAAAGGGTACTACTGGGGTACCTAGGCTCTGCTGACCACTGTAGCTGCCTTCGAAGCGAACAGGTGCCGGACTTCATGGCACCAGGCACGATCACAGCGCGGCGTGTGGAGAGCCATCTGGCAGCCATGGCATCCTCCGAAAAGTATGGCATAGTCCCTTTAAAGAAGGTTCTAGGGGGATATATAGGGATATATGGGAACTCTATAGGGGTACATAGGACCCAATAATAGGGTTTTAGGGCATAATCTGGGTTGCTGTTAAGGAACTTAAATTAAGTTACTGTATTGGGGAAACCCTATTAATTACGATATATACCCATAATGGTAACTTAATTTATGTTCCTTAACAGCAACCCAGTAATTAGGGCTGTCATGCACGAGTAGTGAAGCTTCTGTAACCCCGCTGACGCAGGCGACAGCTGTCACGTCCTTCAACTCATTCTGAGTTCAAAGTTTCAGACACGTGTTGCAAAGGCTTAGCTTGCTGCTGAGCTTCAGAAAGCATGTAGCATTGCTTTGCTCTGTTTTTCAATTTCATGCGTGAAGTCAGCTAGCTTCCTGTTGAGTCCGGCCAGGACTTCCCAAACATCGGGTTTGTTCATGACACCATTCAGGTTCTTGCTATGTGAGCAGAAGACTGCGGAGGCATGATGTGGTTGCTGCTCATCGACCCCTATTCGGGTGTGTGATTATAACTTGGCTCCCCGAGCCATCATGCCTCATAAATGATGCCGCCGAAGCCCGCAGTCGACTCCACTTCTTCTGGGACCTGCGGTTTTGGAGTTGGCGGTTTGGGGCCTAGGGTGAAGTTTGGGGTTCAGGGTTCACGCCTGAGGGGTTTAGGTGTGCATGGGATTTAGGAAGGCCTGTACTGTTGGAATGGACTACGCGACAGCTTTTCCATAGAGGGGCCTCTTGCATGACGCCTTCCCGCCCCCTAGAGTGATGGCGTCATTGGAGTGCCAGGAAAACCCAGACAGTTTGACAAGCCACCAATTTGAGCACAGCCAAGACAAGCCTTTTATCATATTCGATTTGGCTCCTTGTGCTGCTAACATGCGTGAGACTCCTGAAGCTTCTAGGCAGGAGCCGTCCTACCCCGAATGCATACACAGACCGTTTAGAACCCTCTACATAGCGCCTCACATAATAGCCCCTACCCCCATATCTGGAATCTGTGGGCAGGAGCCTGGCGCATTCCCGAAGACTGCCCCAAATACCCTGCCCCTAAGACCGCAGACCTCAAAACTTTGCTCCCCAAATCCTAAAGCGCCCCTAAGAACCCCAATTCCCGCAGGAGCCTTCTGCTCTTCGTCGCATCTCGGCCGCGCCTCTCGGAACAGAGGCACTGCCTCCAGGGCCCGCAGCTGGACCAAAGCGCTCAATTGGGTTTGGTGTTGAAGGGTTTATGGTGCAAAAGTCTTGGGGTCTAGGGTGATATTCTCGCTGGTATGTGATGGCAGTTAGTCCCCAAGGTCAACAGGCTCAATATGATCCCTACACCGCTCAGGGTGGTGGGGTCTCCGCTGGGCCTTGAGAGAATTAGCGTGTTCCGTTTTAGTACCAGGAATGCCTAAGTGATACCTACTTCCAAACCTTAGCACGAAGAGACTCCAAAAACATCTTCCAAATCCGACCGGTGCTGGTATCCACAAAGACCCCGGAATGTCAAGCTTCACAATCCCTGATGCCCCAGAATACCACAAACCGTAGAACTTGCCCCAAGTTCTTGCATCCTTAGGAGGCGCAAGCGTCATGCGGTCTTGCGACAGTTACAGCTCCTGCAAAGCTCCACATGAGAATGCGGCCCAGGGTCACATCATTAGTAGCTATGAGTTGCAACAACTTTGCGGCATGTAGAATTTCCCAGCACTTCTATGTGACCCATCGTCTAGATTCCTAGTATCCCCCTTAATAACCCCTATAATACTCCCCTATATAGCCCCCTGTAAGGAGTTTGGACTATAGCTCATGTGGCACCACAGTACCCTGAACCCTCAAACCATTCTCTGTGCAAAGCTTCCTGCAAACTCAGCAGGCCCACAGGAACGATGTACAACACCTGAAAAGCGTGTAGCTGGTGGTTGAAGGTCTTTCTGTTTCTTACAGAATGCCCAAACATTGGCTCACCTGCTTATCTGGTGCTTGCACCAAAGTAAGTCAGATTGTTCTTGTAGCATACCTTACTGGGAATAGGGGAATATGTGGGGGTTTCCCAACATTATGGGTACCTGTTTGGGGATCCCCATAATAAGGATCATAGTGCTTTGGGATTTTCATTTGTGGTCCCCTTATTTAGGGAAACTACCATGTAAGTATACTTGGATATGTAGGGATAACATTCCCTTGATGCGTGCCAACAACCTGTAAGATAATGCCACCAAAAGGAGAAGTGGGTCTTAGTCTACAGTATCCGCGTTTGACATTCTGCTCACCATGACTTTGATGGACAGAATTGGGCTAAGGTCTTACAGCTTGCTGGCCACCCGGAAAAATGCCCAAACCTGAAAGAACGCACATTCATTGATGACAGTTTTCTTGTAGCTTAGGTCTTTCGCCCTTGCAGCAACCTCAAACCTAAACCGGTTACTGTCGTAGTCCAGCCTTGACCCAGAATCGCACAAACGTTGGTAAGGTCCAAAAGGAGATACTCCCCAAATAAGGGCTGAAAGCTTGATTCGTAGCCCTTCCGTGTGAAATCACCTCATAAAACAAGCCTATCCAGTATAATACTACTGTTGGGGGGAATATTTCCCTTTGGGCGGGGATTATTTGGCATTAGGAGGGCCAGCCCTAGGATATCATGACGGAGTGGGTCTGTCTTGAGTGTATGGTTCAGGGGGGAAGGTTTAGGGAGCCAGCTTACGTGGTTTCAGACTTGTAACAAAGAAGTGGAAGTGGAAGGTTTGCGTGCCCCGCCATACCTGAACTCTTGGCACCGCGGCAGTATGCTAGCTAGACTTAGGGTCATGCAGGATTCTGTCCATCAACTTCATCGCCTCGCCATTTAGTTTCTTTAAAGGGACTTCAAAAAAGTCGCTTTTTTGGGAGTCTGTATAAAAAAAGGACAACAGATTTGCGGTAGGCACATCACGAGAGGACCCCCTGTTTATGGACAATCCAAAAATGGTAGCTTCCCATATGATCCCTATACGAAGCCCTAATGAGAATCCCCGCCCCCCCCAATGCCCTGATCGTGCGTATATAGCCCCTTGGAGCACTTCCTAGACCTGTATACCATACCCCTTCTTGGGGATGCTTAACTTTCATGCTCAGTATCTTTTAGGTCAATCCCCCCTATAGATAAGGCCTTAATACACCTACAATGGTCCCTTGTGGTATCCAATTCTGGGTGCGGGATCGACGCAAAGCATCTTCTATATACAAAAGAGTTACGAATCCTATGCCCTAAAGCACAGGTGTAGGTAGGGGCTCTTCTGGGAAAACTTGCCTTTAGTTTGCTAGGAATGAAGGAATGGATTCTTACAGTAGTCCCTATATAGCCCATTCTAGTAGCTTCCATTTTCTTTTCCACTCCTACTAAATCCTAAACACTAACCCCCAAACCCTAAATCCATTGTAGTAGTTTCCATTATCTTTTCTATTCCTTCATTCCGAACTCTAAACCCCAAACTCTAAACCCTAAACCTTAAACCCTGAACCCTAAACCCTAAGGCCAGAAAATCCTGTAGCTCGCCGAGCCGCGAAGGCCAGCCGGACGCCGAAGGATGCGTTGCTACTCAGCCTTTGCTCTCCAAGGTGCTGTTGGTTTAGTACAGGAAGTGGGGTTCAGGGTTTAGGGTTTAGGGCTTGGGGTTTAGGCCTTGGGGTTTAGGTTTTTGGGTTTAGGGCCACCTCGAGTGCAAAAGGGCTATGTTATATCAAATGTATCTACCAACAATGTTAAGGGAAACCTTGCTAAGTATTCAAGCTTCTACTGCAAGCGATTTCTTACCGGCGATGCATTAAGCGATTAAGGATCATAACTTGCAGGAACAAAAACAAGGGCGTTTGCACAAACAGTGCTGAGGACTTTAGAGGAGGTGTTGTAGGAGTAAAGATTCCATGGCTCTAGCGCTTCAGGTTTAACCCTAAACCCCAAACCCTAAACCCCCTAAACCCTAAACCAAGAACTTGGACTCTGGCCTGATAGCCAGGGGGAAGGGGGTTGACATTACATTACCTCCCCCCTTTTATGAAAGCTCTCACGCCATTGATGTTGAATCCCCCCCATCCGGTATACTATATCTATTGTTGGGGGTGGGGAGTTTTCCTATCAGGGGAGGGGACTAGCATGGCCATGCTTGCAGGGTAACAAGTAGATAGAAGCAAGGTTATAAGTACTTAGCAGTATCCGTGGAGGTGGTTAACCTATGAGCCATATTCTAAACTCTTATCATCCCCCGCATTCCCCTAGAAAACCCGACTTTAAGGAGTTTAGACTCCAGTGAATATTTACAACTATATCCCCAAGACAGGCCAAGTGCTCTACTTGGAGGTTCGTGAGTGGCTAGTAACAGTAGGCGAACTATAGCTACAGTCAATTGTAATTAATTTGCACTTCGGGTACCTATGGGTTTAGGGTTTAGGGTGAACCTCCACGTACACCAAAACGCCAAATCGTAGGCCATGAGCCCGAGGCACAAACTGCCACTGCCAGAGCCCTACAGCCTCAGACTCTACAAGCTCATGTCTGAGCCTTAAAGGGGTTTAGGGGTTTAGAGGATTTAGGGGTTTAGAGGATTTAGGGGTTTAGAGGATTTAGGGGTTTAGGGGTTTAGAGAATTTTGAGGCTGAAAACTCTCAACCTTTACAGCCCTTGAGTAGAAGCCAGAAATTTGGAACATCAGTATACCCCCACACCTTGAATCCTAACCCCAAGCTGCAAAATCTTCTGGCTTCCACCTTTCAACTCTTGGGGCCTGTTCTGCAGACTCTACGGTTGGAACTGTAGGCCCCTTGCATGTCCCCATTATAGATGATACCTATGCACCCACAAGCCCTCCAAACCCAATCAGGAGCACGTGGTTAGGACTTTCGCATGTCCCAATAGATCTAGATCCCTTTAGGGTTTAGGGTTTAGGGTTTAGGGACCCTAAACCCTCAACCCTCAGAACCCTACGATTCCGATGGT